TTAAAGCTCACTGCTCACGTTTCGCCGCTGCTTCTCGTGCATGAAGTTCGGAATGCGTAGCTCGGCGTTGCCGTTTCGCAGCTGCTTCTGGTACCCCGAGTGAAGGATCCACAGCTCGCTTCAAGTGCTTGCGTTCAGCGTCCTATGCTCGTCTCATCACAGCCTTGTCTTCTGCGTTGCTTGCTGTTGTCGACGCTAAAGACGGTGAGGGCCTTGAACAATGTGGCGGTACGATGATGCCCCAGTACTGGTTGAAGGTACTGTTGGTATTTGTTGCTTCCATCGCATCTACTCGAGTCAAGCATAGCGTCAAGTCAAGCGCACAAGAACAAGTCAAGCGCACAAGTAAGGCGCACAAGAACACACGCGCGCAAGACCTCGCAAAAGTATTACGCACTAAGTTCAAGGCACCTTATCTACCTTAAAATTTCTGGCTATTTTTTCGTGGACAGTAGTAAGGCTCACTAAAGCACTTATCTGGACCAAGCCTCAAGATCACCGACGCGTTCAATATTTCACGTGCCCTTTTCTCTAACACGCCCCAAGAGTTATGTTTGCTCACTGAGTGGCTTGCAATGAGCACTAGGCCTAGAATGCACCGGCAAGGGTTGTCCAGTATCTTAAATTGCAGCATACAAATGCTGGTACTGGTGCGTATTCACGCATCTTCCCATTTGGCCCACATATACACTGCCACAGCTCAACACAAGCTCGTAGACTACCTGCATCTTGCACTCAGGAACTTTTCGTTTTTGGTTTGTGCCACAGCTGCCAATATTTCGAACAGTCGGGAAAACAACGCAGGACAGTTCTCAGTGCGATAAGCAAAATCCCCCAAATTTTTGGCCGCTTCTTTAACACCATGTGCAAGCTTGCGGACGTATGGCGAAACCACGGGATTTCACCTTGTTGCTTTATTTTTGTTATACTATATACTAGATCACGGACGTCGAAGCGTCCAGCACAATTGTGAAAAGCTTCAAAGGAATTGACAAGACAATCTTAGTGATGTAACCAGGTGGCAGATTCCAGCCCAAAGCACACAATCGTTTGGCAGTTGATCTTGCGAGCAGCTTCAGTTTTCAGGCGAAGATTATGCTTGAGACAGCCTAATGATTGCGCCACTTTTGTGGTTATCTCTTTTTTAGGCCATGATAAGTTAGGCGCATAATAAATAACAAAGACTTTCAGCAAGTTATAGTTTATTGTGCACCCTTGCTAAGGCCTTCATCACAAGTGGAGCTTCCGACCAAAATTCGGGGTTTCAGCATCCGAACCAGTTATCCGCAACTCACGCACGCCTGCAGTGCGACGAGCGGCCGATGCGCGCCGTGGTCGCTGCCAGAATGAATTTCCCTGCACTGTGATTCGCGAACTATCTGATTGCCGATGTTATTCGGGAAGGCAAGTAGGTAATAAGTATGCGATACGACAGCGCACCGAAGTGTATAGGTCTTTTGACGTGAATAACGCGAGATGAAGCATCATCGATGATGGTGAATTTCATGTGAAACAGGTTTCGGAGCCGGAAAATCGAAGCTAAGTGATACGAGGTTTCTGCGCAGGGACATCATAGGGCGACACTCTGGAATGCTTTAAAAAAAACCTACAAATAAGCGAGCCTGAAATTCATCCCGTGGCAATCAGTAGCTTGTGTTTTCCATGTAAATCCTTTTCTCGAGCCAGGCCGGTTCTAAAAGAACATTTACCTCAAAATGGCTGGTTAGATCCCAAATGACGTTCACGTAAGGCAGGACAATACGAAGGCTGGTTAAGCAGATTGAATGAGAGTTAGACTATTTCTATATGCCTTTTGGTAAATTGAAATTACCTTTAAAGTTTTAAAGTTAAACGGTATTTTACCTGCAGTTAGGGCGCCTGAGAAATACGAGAGTTGTGATTACCTGTGAAAAATTGCTGTTTAATAATTTGTGTTTACTGCCGTCCGCCCGCTATGAAGTGAATATGTTCATTTAGTTGACCGAAACTGCGATTCCTTCGTATGCGAGATTTCTCTGGATCATGCACTCACAAATAACCTCTGAAGCACAGACCGGCTGACAAAATTTCTGATTCACTAAAGTGAAAGTCAAGCAAGAATCAGGTAAAGCTGGGCTCGCTTTCCTAGAGGATCAAAATTACAAGGAAGACTAGAGGCTTAACTCCAGACAACTCCTAAAGGATCCACGCGAAAGTTGTGGTCAATGAAACAGGCCTTGGAATTTGATAAGATCGAAATCCACTTGAAGTACTGGTGGCACGCCTAAAGGTCAAAACCACACACACACACACACACACACACACACACACACACACACACACACCACACACACACACACACACACACACACACACACACACACACACACACACACACACACACACACACACACACACACACACACACACAAAAAGCTTACGACGCCATATATACTCGAAGCTGACTTTTTTAGGTACAATTACCTAATTTATTTTTATTTTTTATTTACAATATACTGCGGTCGAAAAGCCAAGCAGGGGGCATAACAAAAGGTAATTCACAGTTTGACCCTGTTACAAGAAAACTTCAAGCAATAAAAACACGCTAAACAATTGAACACAGAAAAAATAATTCAGATGACAGCAAGATAATATAATCGCAGCTATAGAATGCAAACTAGGTGCACTGTGAGATAGTCGAGAGCTTGACTTGTAGTGTTAAGGAAAGAAAGTTGCATATTGTGAACATCCAGGTAATTATTCTCACAGAACGCTTCATAAGGCAACTTGTTCCACTTATTGATATTTCAAGGAAAAAAGAATTAACGGGAAAATTTGTACGTGTGAAGTAGGGCCCAAATACGATGATGAAGTGTTCACATCGTTTGTCACTAGCATGACCAAGTAAAAGCACCGGTTTTGAATTTGCATGGCCGGGGAAAGATTCAGGCCATACTTTCATGTTGAATAAACGTAGAATGAAATTTTTGGCATGGAAAGAACAGCGTCAGCCTGAACCACACTTTTCGTACTGATTGCGCTCTCAGAGCACGGAAGTGCCGTACTTCAGGCTGCTTTAGCATCGGTTAAATGTAATCCTCATGCATCAATGCCTAATATACCATCGTCTTTAGTATAACGAGAGGACCTAAAAACAATTTATTGAGCGAGCCTCATGTCTCTGCAAATCTCGCCACTAAGTGCTATGCTGGCCCTGACGTAAGTGTAGGAACCAATAACTGAGCCGGTATTGTTTAGCTGAAGACGACGGAAATGCAAAGAAAATGTAGTTTAAACAGGCTCAGATTGATTCGGCCATAAAAATTATGCTTGAGCATTTGCTCGCGTGAAGGTTATATGGAATGCCGCAAAACAAGCAATGAATAATCGACAACCTGTCGAACACAGAATTTATTCCCACCAGCGGCTTTCAGTTGGCTGTGAATCATTCTTCACTCTGCCATTGCTGCTTTAAATTGAGGCCTTCTTGCTAAGCCCGAATCTCCGCGACGCAACGTCATTCTGAGCCGACAGGCAAGTGGCAGCTAAGCAACATCGAAAGCATCGAGATCCAACTTTTTTAGAGCAAGAATTCATACCAATGCAACAGAGTGCACCAGGCAGGTGGACTGGTTTCATCTCCGAGCACTTCACTGCAGTGATAGTATGTTCAGCGACGTTGTGGCAACATCGCGATAAAACCCTACAGGGCTAGCTAGTTGGATGCTGTGCGAAATATATGCTAGTGCGAAAAAAAAAAAACGCTTAAGCAATACAAACATTGTGACGCATTCATTTGCACACATCATGGTGAAACCTTTAAAAAATTGGCCCGTATCGGCATGTTTCACTGAAAATGTCGTCGAACGACAATAGGCTTGCATGTGGAGAGAGTGAACAAAACGTTTATTGGATTTTCTGCGCGAGAAAATCGGTGAATCGTATTCCGAAAGCGCTGTGTTAGAGAGTCCCGATCCTTGCAGCGAAGGCGAACGAGCGCATCAAGGCACGTTTGACACGAATGCTATCTGGCATTCATCTTCGAAAACAAAGGAAGGCGTGCGCGCCCACGGAGAAAGATGCGCGCCGGGAACTCGTTCGCTGGATTCCGTGCCGACCGGTTGCGCCCTCGTGATCTACGACGCCAGCGTAGCTCTGGCTGACTGGGCTGGCCCTACGTCATCTCCTGACACTGATCTCCGACAACAGCGTAGCTCTGACCTACTGGACTTGCCCTACGCCATCTCCTGACGCCGACAAGACCTCTCGCAAGTGGTGCCCCGTCCTCGGACTCCTGTGACCTGTTTTGATCTTTCCAATCTCTCCTATACCTCATATGTCCTCGCTCGCTGTACCAGCGCATCTCTCGCTATATATATACCTTACTCCTATTCTTTTGATCCCTCTCACCCCCATCCCTTGTGAGCTACTGTTGAGGTGTCGCACCCTGGTGCAGACAGTTAGGGGGCTCACTTTTCTCTTTTTTTCCCTCTTATAACCACTTCTGGGATGCTCGACTGTCTCGGAGGAGATAAGGTGTAGAACGCAAAGCGACGGGCATGTGCCACCACCGTGTCGTCTTAGCAAAGCGTTGGAAACTCATGCCGTTTTGAGCCTCGCGTTGCACTATCAGCGCACCGTGATAAACACTATGACCCTTAGAATTACTTACACGTGTCTTATCCAGTATAAAACCGCACATACAGAATATTGACCTGCTGTTATGGTGCCTCGGATATGCACAATCATCATTTGCTAATTGACAATCACACAAGTATGAACGCTGAAACTTGAGCAATATTGGTGGGCGCTGCGGATGGGGTTGGCCATTTGGCGCATCGCTTGGTGCTGTTTGGGGCATTGTTACGACAGACAGACAGACAGACAGACAGACAGACAGACAGACAGACAGACAGACAGACAGACAGACAGACAGACAGACAGACAGACAGACAGACAGACCCAAATTTTTGCCGTCAAAGTACCGGAAAAAAAGACTATCGTCTTTAAAAAAGACTTACCGATCCAACTTGTGCGCTCTCCTCTTCGGTCAGTTTGGCTCCGGCAGCCACAGGGGGCGTCTTCTCCGGCTTTACTTTGCTCTGGACGATGGACTTCTCAGCAGCGCTACGAGTAGATGATGTGCGGCGACGCCGGGCACGTCGCTCAGTGTCCGAGGTTGAGTCACTTTCGTTGGCACTCAGTCGGGAGTACTGCCTACACGCAAACAATGCGATCCAAAGAGGCCCATCGATATATTCTATTTCAGCACTATCGTAACATTTTGCGTACAGGAGAGAGCAGAGTTTTAACACAGTGAGAATGCTATGGCAAGCGACTGGTTTGCGAAGAAATTCGGCCCGTTTTCTTCAAGTAACCACTTCTACAACGCTTCAGACCTCCTGGCCCCTCTCGCAACAATACTGGCTGACTGTCTCGCACTCCGGAGCTACGCCGCTTTCCCTCGCGAAGCGATCTGTCTCTTACCGGGGAGAGAGGCGCATTCTCTGGCGTAACAATCCAGGTAATCTACTCACCTGGCTAGTTCAGTGGATGCTCCGACCTGAGAGACGATCTCCCCGAGAAGCTGCATGTCCTCGTCCGAGACACCCTCGGTCTCTTCGCCTTCTTGCAGGAACTGAACGAGGAAGTCAGAGAAGGCCCCGCCGCGGGTGAGCAGCTCATCATACGTGCCCACGTCGCTGATCTTGCCGTCGCTGAGCACGATGACCATATCCACTTGCGGCAGCACCGACAGCCGGTGAGTCACAAGGAGACGGGTCTGAAGAAAGAACGCGCCACGTGAATTTTAAGCAGATGCAACCTAAAAAAATTTCCTAGGTTTCCCAACATATCATTACAACTTTACGATAGGCTTGCGTAGGGTTCCCTCATCCGGGGAGGAGGAGGACGAAGGTTAATACTACACGGCAAACGTTGCTCCCGCCTTTTTGAGAAGAATTTTTGTGAACAGCATAGCTATATAGGCGATGGCAAGCGTACAATATTCACCCACCTTCTTCCTGAGGAGACCCTTGGGACCGATGACCTTGTCGAAGATGTGCTTGCCGACGTGCGAGTCGACAGCGCTGAGGGGATCGTCGAAGAAGTAGATGCTCGAGCCGCTGTACACAGCGCGAGCGAGGCTGATGCGTTGCTTCTGACCACCGCTAAGATTGATGCCCTGGACAATGCAAAGGGCTCCTGATATACCATCAAATACGAGGCGATAAAATGTGTTCTTTCTTTCCCTTTAGCAAACGTGTTGTTGGGATAGTTGGTGCATGTTACAAGAAAATTGGACGAGGTAAACCACCGCGGAGGAGCAGGCGAGAGGAAAGAGCGTCAAACCGAAACCAACTATATTCCTGTAAAACTACCGCAATATATTCAACATGCCAGACATGTACAATAACACATACGTAATATCGCACAATCCTCGTACACTGAATGCGGGGTGCTCTTTCAAAAAGCTACAAAAAATAAATTTAGGAGAACCCAGTGCCACCGACGTATCGCCAATACAGATCCTGTTTGTTCGTGATAAGGCACGCATCTCTCGCTAAACTCTCTCCTTGCTTCTACCTAGAACGGTGCTATTATCAAATCTTGCCTCACGTCCAAACACGCTGAAGTGAATAGGCAAATGTGCCAATTGATTATTCTTCATTGAAAGATCATGCTTCTTCACTGAATAGTGTTGCCATCTGCTGGCCTGACCTATGTGAAACCTTCGACAGGAGAGCAAAATATCGTAGACCACTCCCATCGCACAGGTGGCGTATGGGTCTCGCATGGCTTTTACCGCAAGGGTAGGAACCGGTCCTCTTGAAATCTGTGAGCAGAAGCACGACCGTATTCTTGGCGCAGAAAACACCATGGGTACTTATAAGGCACCTTTTTAAGATTGTGTGTACCCTCATAGTTTTACGTGATAACTACTAATCATTTTTCGAACAACTTACATTTCTTCTTTTTCTCTTTAGCCTTTTTGAAGCAGGGATTCTGCTGCTGCCGCAATGGCAGGACTACACACTTCTGCTCGTCCTGCTCACATACGTTCGATACCACTTGATACTTTTTGGATGAGTACCGCCATGTTGCGCTGTTAACCTTTGCGTTTTTTTTACAGAATAAACAGTTAAACAAATTGTGTTACAGTAGACACATATGCAGGAAAACGGTTGTGTTGGGGCATGTTCCATGACCTCATCAATTTACTTCGCTATGTACAAAAACAAGGTAACATCGGCAAACAGACCAAGATGACGGCGCCCAAATGTCTTACGGAAAATTGTCTGTAGTATACACTGTACATGCCTAAGGTTGCAGGACCAAGCACGTTTATAATTTATGAGTTGTTCACTGGTTACCAGTGGCTGATTAAGAGGGGCGGCGGTAGGGGAGAGCACCCCTCCCAAAGCGTGCGTCAGCAGTTCCCCGCCCCTGTCTCTTCTGTGCTTCTAGTCCACCACCCATTCCCTCCTTAAGACAAGTAAGGGGTACCACTGATCAGGCATAAAGAGTATTTATGCTACCATGCAGCTCTTGTGCTACTAAAATACCAAAAAATGTCTGAGCCCTGTGCACCATTTCTGTGTTACATCAAGTGACCTCTCCCCTAAAATGAGTCGATCCACCCTTGCTGACAACCCGTTCATTATAAAAACGTATCGGTAGAGAAGTTCTTGGGTCAGCTACACACAACCAAGCATTTTCTGTAATGCATTGGTAATTGAATTAGTATCGATTCCATTTGGGTCATCGCTTGCTTATCACAAGGTCAAGCATTGGGTCTGACTATATATTCGTCCAAGCAGTTTCCCGAATTTATTGCAGACTGATTGCTGATTGATTGGATATTACTAGGCATTGACGACCATGCTAGAAGCCACTTGGCACGCATGAGCTTTTAATAGCGCATACTTTCCAAAGCCAGGCCGATCATGTTTTGGAACAATTTCCCGACACTCGGCGAGCTTCTACAGTTCACCTTGGCGTGGGAAGTGTACACACTGTACACCTTGTACTACCCGACAAAGGTCAATGCGTTAGGGTGGTAGCTATCGAAGAGGACGTACCTTTTCACCAACTTCGGTGTCATCACCTCCCGGAAGAATGTCCAAGTCCTGCTTAAGGGCACATGCTTCGATCACCTGCTCATATCGGTCGCGGTCGAATGGCTGTCCAAACGTTATGTTGCTCTTAACGCTGGCGTTCTGTATCCACGCCTGCTGAGGGCAGTAGGCCACGGAACCCTGCGAGGGGCGACGTGGTCAGGTCATTTTTCCCCACTGTCAGACTGTATGGTGCGATCAGCATTGAAGATCTTTGAGGTGGACTGAACACAATGCAGTGTGTCTCAACTTATATGCCCTATACGGTCATCTATTCTCAGTGCAATGAAAACTCGATCTCACGAAAGCAGATTTTATGAAATTCCCTATGGAACGATGAAATCTGAATTGATCAGTAGGGTACCTTTACGGTTCCTTACTGGCATCATGAACGAACTAAACTAGCCTAATATTAATATAAAAGTTTCAATGTCCCAAAGTCATCATACGTATATGAGAGACGCCATTGTGAAGGGCTCCGGTATTTTCGACCACTTGGGGTTCCTTAACAGGCCTACAGCACTTTCGCCTCCATCGAATGTGAAGCCTCCGTAGCCGGGATTTGATCCCACCACGTGCGGGTCAGCAGCCGAGTGCCTTCACCACTGGACCACTACGACGGGGCAACTTAACTAGCTTGGTCAACGAAATCGACATAATCACTTGCTATTCGCTTTGAGTGTGTGCTCCAGCGCTGTCGCATTGAAACATCTAGATGCTTCTGTTACAGGCATAGCTTTTTTTAGCCAGAGTCAACGCCACACCGCCGCTGTGTCCGAGAAGCGGGAGACTCCGAAGCGCTAACTCCAAGTGCCGTGAGAAACGCCGTCGATGTTTTCGCCACGAGGCAACAGCACTGAGAAGAGCACTCGTACTCTTTGAGCACGGCTGAGCAAGCAAGCGCAGATCACGAATTTTACAGCAAAAGCTGTTATGAGATCACAACTCGGATCACTGGCAGTTGTCCGCCACCGCCTGTAACCACATCGCACAAAATTAGAAAAAAAAAACCTAGCGTCAATGACACGGTAGAGCTTTAACCTGGGTCCACTGGGTGCCAGCCCAGTATTCTACCACTGAGCTACGCCGGTGTTTTTTTTTATTGAGCGACGCCGGTGCTTGGGACTTGTTGGCAAGCTTGCCTTAGGCACGCTTGATGTTTGGAAAGCAATCGCGGTGATACGACTTATAAAGAACTTTAAAGTAACGAAAGAACAAGCTGTCGTCGCACAGTGCGAATACCGTAACAAGTGGGTCGTCCAATGCTCCGACCCATTACAAAAGCTTGTTTTGTTCAGCTAATAAACTGTGGAGCATGCCCACTTCAGGCACAACACCTCATCGTCGTCAGCAACTGCATGAAACTGGCACAAAATTACTTGCAAGTGTTAAGCGAATACCACACTTCTCAGAAGATTCACACAAAATAGTCTAGCGAATGCCGGCATTCTACCGAAAAAATTTGTTACTAATGCTGTCGCGAGTATTAAGCAAGTGTGCTTGCAGTAGTTACCCAATGAGTGTTCAGAAAAGGCTCTGAAAGGCCACTCTTCTAGCTTTCGCTTTGTGCTGAGCCTTGCGCGCAAGCCTGGCGTTTTTTCCAAGACGAAAGACTTCACGGACGTTTTCATCAGAGAAATGACTTCAGGAAAATACACACTAAAAGATAACAGAAAAAAACACAAGACAAATGCTCGGTCGTGCAGTATTCACTACAGCCGAGCCCACGACAGCTCAACTTGACTGCACTCGTTGTGCACCCTACCGACTGAGCCATAGAGTAACTATTCTATGACTGAGCTGCCAACGTTTTCTTTTCATTTAATCAAAAATTGACTGATATGTGGGGTTCAACGTCCCAAAACCACCATATGATTATCAGAGACGCCGTAGTGGAGGGCTCCGGAAATTTTGACCACCTGGGGTTCTTTAACGTGCACCCAAGTCTGAGCGCACGGGCCTACAACATTTCCGCCTCCATTGAAACTGCAGCCGCCGCAGCCGGGATTCGATTGCGCGACCTGCGGGTCAGCAGCCGAGTACCTTAGCAACTAGACCACTGCGGCGGGGCCATTTTATAAACAATGTGCCTAATGCATATATAGAGCACTGAAATACTCAAGCCCGCCTCTACAAGCGGAGCACAGGTGCTACGACGAAAAAAAAAAAAGATTCGGTCAACGCAGTGTTCTAAACAGACGCTAGCATGCATTTCATGAGCGGTGGATAGAAAACTGGCTGAAACTGTACTTGTTCATACTTTTAAAAGAGCTCTAACGTTTTCATGAAGTACAACCGTGATTATTTCATGGGTTCGACGTGCGTGTCTGAGCACTTGAAGGACACGTCAGCCACGTCTTCAACAGAACAATGCTGCCATAGCAATCTCGGGCCTTAAGTGCATCGCTTTCTCTATTGCTAGCTGGTTCTAGGTTCATGCGTCAACCATGCCGCAAAGAAACGAATGCTTGTGCGCGTAATATTGACCATTTTGAGAATACTGTAGCGAAGTGCCCACAACGCGTCTTTAAGGCAAACCTACGAACCTGCTCACTTTGTAGCTGCTTTGGCTTAATAAGATAAATTGTCACGGGGTCATAACGTCGACAAAGAGAGCAGACAGTACTTTGAAAAATAAACTGTTCACTCAGGTCGCACTTGTGGCCACGTAAAAGGAAAGTAAGATTAGAGCGAGAGAGAGAGAGAAAAGAGTATATTCCCAGGATCCTGCGTGCAGGCTGTTTCCGGTACCCTCCTAGTGCTTCAGTCTATTAGAGTCCTAAGAACACTGAGCCTAGGTCTCGAGGTTTACGTCTGGCCTAGCATCAGATACTTGGGTCCCTTCGGCCAAGGTTGATGGGCACTGGCGAGCCACTGGCACTGAAAGCGTCGAACAGACAGTCAGCCGTTGATCAACTGACAAGCGGCGCGGCAGCGTCGGCATTTTACGCGTGCCATCAAATATTCTGGCGTTATCGCTGGCGGCCACGTAGCTTCCAGACAAATCTGAAATGTTCAGGAAGTGGGTGTAATATATAAAGAAATTATGTAGTACTGCAGTACCGAGGCTTCTCCAACTGTGTAGGCGTGGTTTGCGCTGAGAATCACTGACAGTGAAACGGTGCGTTAACAAAACTTGAGTAGTGAATGTGGCATTCCCCCCTCTGAAAAGGGCATCGTTGATTGTTATGTGGGGTTTAACGTCCCAAAACCACCATATGATTATGACAGACACCGTAGTAGAGGGCTCCGAAAAACGTCGACCAGCTGGGGTTCTTAAACGTGCTCCCGAATCTAAGCACAGGGGCCTACAACATTTCCGCCTTCATCGGAAATGAAGCCGCCGCAGCCACGAATTCCCGCGATCTGCAGGTCAGCAGCCGAGCACCTTAGCCTCTGGACCACTGCCACAGGTCAGAAGAAAAAAAGGCATCAGTCCTGATGCTTTAACAAAATACGAAAGTACGATAATAAAGAAGAAATTGAACAATGAGTACAAGCAATAAATCACAGCAATAACAACTAAATTCAATGCTCAGGTTCCCGCACGAAATGGCTTGAGGTGCATGGCATGGACGACTTCAGACCGTGGTCGGCACCGTTTAAAATTAGTAATACCGTCGGTAACAACTGTCGTAGACGAGTGTACCGAGACGTCAAACTATCCTATACGGTCCGAAATAGCAATGCATAAGTTTTTCACCGAGTCCGCGTCAGCGTATCAGCTTACGCACCTAAACAAGGTCAACAGGCTGATATTCGACGAAACTTCGTCGAAGGTTGTAATGACTGGCGGTCGGTTGCCTGCCGATTTTTGATGCGCAGGCGGGCGAGTTTGCAAGATTTTTCAGTGCACTCAAGGTTTGCGGTGACATCGATGTTCTCTTCGTCAGCGACGTTTGGAAGCACAGCGTCGAGCGTCGTTGGTGGGCTGCTGCTATAGACCAAGTTGTACGGTGTCATCTGCGTCGTTTCCTGGACGGCCGTATTGTACGCGAAGGTCATGTACGGAAGAATTGTATCCTACGTCTTGTGCTCGACATCGACTTACACGGCCAGCATACCCAGATGGTCTAATTAAGACGCTCGCTGAGGCCATTGGTCTGTGGATGACAGGCGGTGGTTCAGCGGTGACTTGTCTCGCTGTACCCAGGAATTGCCCGAGTTAGGTCCGCCGTAAACGTCATACTTCTGTCAGTAATGAGGACTCTTGGAGCTTCATGACGCAGGACGATGTTCTCGACGAAGAACTTTCCTACCTATGTGGCACTGCATCTGGGCAGGGTCCTTGTCTAGGCGTAACACGTAAGGTAGTATGTGGCTACCACGATCAATTTGTTCCCGGTATTCAACGTCGGGAACGGCACCAGCAAGTCTATGCCGATTCGCTGGAACGGCCGGGAAGGTGGCTCAATGTGCTAGAGAAGTCCGGCTTGCCTGGTCGGTGGTGCCTTTCGTCGTTGGCAGTCCCATCATGTCTTCACAAAACGAGTGACGTTGGCGGAAAGACGTGGCCAGCAGTACTTCTGTATTCTTGCGAGCGTACGGGAAACACTGAGGTGTCCAGCCGTTGGGTCGGTCGTGTAGAACATTCTAAACATTTCGACAGAACGCTGAAGGTACTATGGCGAGGTAGTTGGCCCGAAGTGGCGAAAAGCTTTGCTTCGGGAGAATGCCGTGTCGCAAGAAAGCGACTCGACTCCTCGTTTGAATACTTTTGCAACAACGGTGGCCTTGCCCTCGAAGGAATTCTACAAGGCTCCCGAGTTCCGGCTCAGCTCGCTGTTGCTCGGCGAAGTCGTCGGCACTTATGGTTCCAAAAGAGCAGTGATCATCGGGGTCGTCCTTCGACGGGGGCATGAGACAGGCAGTCAGCGTCAGAGTTTTTCTGCAGACTTGTAAACGATGGTAACGTCGAATTCCCGAAGTATTAAGCTCCACCATGCGAGGCGACCTGAAGGGTCTTTTAAGTTCGCTAGCCATCACAAGATGTGGTGGTCGCTCACAAGTTTTAAGGGCTTGCTATAAAGATATGGGTGGAACTTCGATGTAGCCCAAATGATTGCAAGGCATTCCTTGCAATTGAATTTCTCGCAACTCATTGCAGTTGCAATGAGTTGGTCTCTGCCTTTGATAGCGAC